TTAGTGATGCGTGCATATTCATGAAGACTGCCAAAGAGGTGTGGGACAGCTGTAAAGAAAACTATTCCAAGGTTGGTGATGCTGCACAAATTTACGAAATTAAGATGAAGATTGCGACTACCAAGCAAGGAGATCGGTCCATTAGTGAGTATGCCCAAACTCTACAAAATCTATGGTTGGAGTTGAATCACTATGAGCATTTTGAGGCAAAATGCACAGCAGATGCTACTTTACTAAAAAATTAAAAGGAGAAGGATAGAATCTATAAGTTCTTAACAGGTCTGAACAACGAGTTTGATCCAATAAGGATTCAAGTACTCGGAAAAGAGTTACCTTCACTAAATGAAACCATGGCTGCCTTTCGAACAGAAGAATCGCAAAGAGGAGTGATGATGGAGCCTCAATCACATGAAAGTTCAGCCTTAGTAACACAAAGTCGAGAGAAGAACATTGACCAATGGAAGAACGGTCAAACCGGAGGAGCTCCCAAAATGGAGATTGAAAGAGGGGATAACAAGGATTCTCTATGGTGTACCTTCTGCAAGAAGCCAAGGCACACCGAAGACAGATGCTGGAAACGTCATGGAAAACCGCCAAATCAGAATCGAAATTGGAACACCAAAGGCATTCAACGAGGAGGACCAGCACATGCCCACTTGGTCCAATCAAGTGCTGTCGAGGAAAGTCATTCTAAACCTACTGCTGCTGCTGACTTCAATCCAGAAGAAATTACAAAGCTAAGGGAGCTACTAGACTCTTTAGTCAAATCCACAAACACAGGTAGTTCTTCCATGGCATTATCGGGTAGTTCTCATCTCTATGCTTTTAGCGTTATACAATCTACAGAAAAAGGGACATGGATTGTTGATTATGGGGCTACGAATCACATGACCCATTCCTCTACTGAGTTTATTTCTTACACACCGTGTCCAAGTAATAAAAAGATTGTCACTGCAGATGGCACTTTTATTACTGTTGCAGGAAAGGGAAATATTCCACTAAGTCAAAATTTAATGTTGAGAGATGTCTTGCATGTGCCCAAATTATCTGCCAAACTATTATGTATTCACAAACTTACGACAGATTTACAATGCTTAGTAACATTCACTCTACACTTTGCAAATTTCAAGATCAGGAAACGGGTAAGACGATTGGACTTGCTAGAGAGGACAATGGGCTTTACCTTCTTATGGAAACGCGTGAGACAAGTAGCATTAAGAGTCAACTTCCACGGTCTTTGTTGTCAGAATCTGTTCCTTCCCTCAATAAAGAAATCTGGTTGCGTCACTTCCGGTTGGGTCATCCTTCATTTAGCACTCTCAAAAATATGTTTCCCACCTTGTTTCAAGGTATAAACTTAGAAACTTTTCATTGTGATGATTGTGAACTCGCTAAACACAAATGTGTTAGCTTTCCTAATAATAATAAAAGAATGTCTACTCCTTTTTCCTTAATCCATAGTGATGTTTGGGGGCCATCCAATGTCCCAAATATATCTGGGGCCGTTGGTTTGTCATTTTTATTGATGATTGTACTAGAGTGTCATGGATGTATCTCTTAAAACAAAAAAGTGAAGTCACTCAAATATTTAAATTGTTTTTTCAAATGATAAAAACCAAATTTGAGACTACCATCAAACTGTTTCGTTCTGATAATGCCAAAGATTATTTTAATCAAACATTGTCTTCCTTTTTCACTGAACATGGTATTATTCATGAATCATCATGTGTCCACACCCCACAACAAAATGGGGTGGCTGAAAGAAAAATTGGACATATTCTCAATGTTACCCGAGCATCTTTATTCCACACAAATGTTCCAAAACAATATTGGAGGGAGGCCGCTCTTACTGCCACCTACTTGATTAACCGCTTACCCTCTCAAATTCTTAGAATAACAACCCCATTCAGCTCCTTTCCAAATTCTACCCAAATTTCAAAACTTCAAACAACCTAATTCCTAGGATCTTTGGGTGTGTGTCATTTGTCGGGTGTGTGTCATTTGTCCATGTTCATTCTCCACATCGAGGAAAACTTGATCCTCGAGCTATTAAATGCATATTTCTTGGTTACTCCCCTACCCAAAAAGGTTACAAGTGTTATCAACCTACAACAAAAAAGAATTTTGTGTCTATTGATGTCACTTTTGTCGAAACCGAATCCTTTTTTCCAAACCTTATCTTCAGGGGGAGAAGGAATACATCGAAGATAATGATGATTTGTTCAAAGACCTTTCTTTTATGCCCAAGACTCCTAATGCTACTCGTCCACTACAAGTTTACACAAGAAGGGCAGCACCTATTATCCAATCTGTGCAAGTCCCAGAATCTGACCCAATTCCTGAAACTGTAATTGATGAGACAGTTTTAGAGGAGCAAATTGTGCCCCCTGAAACTGAAGTTGATGGGACTGATTTAGAGGAGCAAAATATATCCATGGATGCTAGAAATCTTCCAATTGCAATAAGGAAGGATGTTAGAGCATGTACAAAAAGGCCAAGATATCCATTGTCTCACTTTATATCCTATGATAATTTGTCCAACAAGCATAGAAGTTTTCTTGCTCATTTAAACACTACCTCTATCCCAAAAACGGTTACCGAAGCACTAGATAACAAAGAGTGGAGAGAAGCTATGAAAGTCGAAATGGATGCACTAGAGAAAAATGGAACTTGGAATTTAGTAGAGCTTTCTAATGGAAAAAACTTGTTGGTTGTAAATGGGTATTCACCCTTAAATACAAGTCCGATGGAACACTAGAAAGGTACAAAGCAAAGGTACACACAAACATATGGGATTGACTATCATGAGACTTTCTCTCCCGTCGCAAAAATGAGCACTGTCAGAATTTTGTTATCTCTAGCAGCTAACTATGGATGGAATATGCAGCAATTCGATGTCAAGAATGCTTTCCTACATGGCAACCTTGAAGAGGAAATTTACATGGAGGTCCCACCTGGGTTTAACTTTGAGAAAGGCAAAGTTTGTAAGCTAAGGAATGCCCTTTATGGACTGAAACAGTCCCTTAGGGCCTGGTTTGGTAGGTTTACCACTGTGATGAAAGATATGAGATATAAACAAAGTCAGGGAGATCACACTTTATTTACTAAGCATTCAGCCTTAGGGGGAGTTACTGCACTAATTGTCTATGTGGATGATATAATTGTAACAGGAAATCATCAAGCAGAAATGGATAGCCTAAAAGTGTGTTTGCTAAAGGAGTTTGAAGTAAAAGAGTTGGGCAGATTAAAATATTTTTTGGGCCTTGAGGTGACACACTCTCGTCATGGTATTTTCATCTCTCAACAGAAGTATGTGCTGGATTTATTATCTGAAACTGGTAAATTGGGATGCAAACCAGTAGATACTCCAATTGAACAAAATCACAGACTTAGTGAATTTGTTGAAGATGCAACTGTGGACAGAGAATCCTATCAAAAGTTAGTTGGAAAGTTAATCTATTTATCTCACACTAGGCCAGACATAGCTTATGCAGTGGGAGTGGTGAGTCAATTCATGCATAATCCCAAAGAAAATCATCTTAGAGCTGTTTACCGAATTTTGCAATACTTGAAGGGCACTCCTGGAAAAGGAATTCTATTTACAAAGGGTCAAGAAATTACTTTGGAAGCCTATACAGATGCTGATTATGCTGGATCAGTAGATGGCAGAAGATCCACATCCGGATATTGTACTTTTCTTGGAGGAAACTTAGTGAGTTGGAGGAGCAAAAAACAAAATGTTGTTGCGAGGTCAAGTGCAGAAGCAGAACTTCGGGCTATGGCTTTAGGTATTTGTGAACTCCTATGGCTGAAAATAATTCTACATGACCTAAAGATTGAATGGAATGGACCCATGAAACTATATTGTGACAACAAGTCAGCAATAAACATTGCACATAATCCAGTGCAACATGATAGAACGAAGCATGTCGAAGTAGACAGACATTTCATCAAGGAAAAATTGGATGGTGGGACAATATGTATACCATTTGTATCAACTGGAAATCAGCTGACAGATGTTCTTACAAAAGGATTAAGTGGTTCTACATTTCAATCTATTATCGGCAAGTTGGGAATGGGTAACATCCACTCTCCAACTTGAGGGGGAGTGTTAGAACCAGCTGTACATGTGTTAATTAGCTGTATATTTTATAGTTAAATAGGTTTAAAGGATTTGATTAGATGTGTATGTATTTATAGAAATTATTGACCGTTAATTATAGAATTGACTGAGGGCAATGATGAATATTTATTAGGGATTTCCTTTTCTAAGTACGTTGTATTCTATTTAAGAGCACATGTTGCTCTATCAATAATAAGAAAAAAACAATTATCTTTGTCAGTTATCTATATTTGAATAGATCTTTTTGGCTGCATTTCAGATTTCTACAACAATGTCATAATACATGTAATTTTCACCACACATTTGTCATGGAGTTGAGTAACCATGACATCACTAAATTGTTTTTAAGTTTCCATTTTGCATGGTTTGAATCAGTTTTTTTTGCTGCCCAGCGTTACTAGTGATTTAGTCTTCCTTCCCTTTTACTCCGAGGAAGAGCTAGATAGATTTAAACCACCCTGTGTAGTTTTGTCCATTAAGCTTGTAGCTAGTAATGAAAATGGTCTCATTACTTTTTCCCTCTGGTGAGAAAATCCTAATTTTTTTATTCTTTCTTTCGGTTCAAAACTATCGCTCTGATATCATGTAAAATTCGGTATTCTTTTATTGAGTGTACAAAATATAAATAGCAATTGAGATTGTTTGGAATAAAAAATGTAACTAAACCCATATTATAATGTATATGTATATACGCTCAATGTTTTAATTAATAATTATGAGCATTGCCAATTGATCAATGCTGTAATTAATAATTATGAGCATTGCCAATCGACCATATGTTGAAAATATTATTTAACCACTAATTTCAGTTAGTGGAGTTGCTACTGCTGCTGCTGATATGTTTATTACAAATATTTTTTTTTTGTAATGGTTGCAGATGTCATTTTCGGATCTTGTAGATTTTCATGTCGGAGTGTTGGTGACAATTTGCTTCTTCTGTGGACTTATGCAAAGTTTCTTACCTTTGAAATTTGTCTCTATAGTAACAACCGACTTTTGATTTTAGTGGTGAACTAACCCAGTTAAGTGATATACAGCCTATTTAGTTTCTTTTCAGTCTTTTATGGTGTGTCTTTTGTTTGAGGGGAGTAAAAGGAGAGGAAAAAGGAAAGGGGCGAGGGAAGGTTTATTTCAAGCTTGCTAATGAAACCTTACCACCAAAGTTTTCTTTGGAGAATTGGTGAATGGTGTAACACCCTAATTCTAAAATTAAGTAAAAGAACATAGCAAAATACACAGCGGTTAAGAGATGCCAAGTTGTAAAACCATTTCAATTAGGTTTAGAATGCTTATATAACAGTTAAGAAACTTAGTTACAAATTGTTTAAAGTAACATTTTGATTCAAAATTTAATATTTTATCACATTTTTATAAATAAAAAGTAAAATTTGATATTAGAAATAATTTAAACCTCCGATTTTATGGTTTTTAATCGGTTTTTGTTTAAATCTCATTTCTTCTGCATTCTAGTTTTCATTCAAGTTTTCTGGTCTAAACAGACAAGCTAAAACCTTGATTCTCGGCCCAATCAATTGAACCAATTAGTTCGGTTCAATTTTGATTGTCACGCATTTAATACGTAGTCACATTTGGATATATATTTTTTTAACACAAGAAAACTTAACTCATTTCACTACGTGTTTGTTCAATACAATGAGAAATCAAATGGAAAACACTGCGCCTAGTCTAAGAATTGACCGCTTTAGCTAACAAATGTGCAATCGAATTCACTTGACGCTTAACAAACTTTACCTTGAAATTGGAATTGCAAAGTAATAAATTCTTAATATAAGAAATAATCAGAATGTGAGTCACTCACGAAAATGATACGATTTATTTGTAAAATGAGTGGTTACATGTATCTCTTCTTTCACGACCATTGCTTTAGCTTCCACGATTGAATGAATATCAAAATCCCACGCTAGACCTGCATTTATAAAACTTCCATTGCTATTACTAAAGCACCATCTCCTATTTGTGGTTTTTTTTTATGTTATTAAACCCTACATCTATCTACATTGCATTTCAACCATCCTTGTATAGTGGCTCCCATGAGTGTTGTTGTTGGTCTAACTCGGTATCCTCTTGAATATTTAATAAGTAATTAAAGCACATTGACACATTTCACTAAAAATCTTCCCTTGCATATAAGGGATTTTACTATCGTAAATGCAACACGACATCAAACCGAGGTTTTATCTTATACCTCAGACTTGCATGTGCGAGCTTCCACTGTCGCATATGTGAGATTTATCCTTTTCATATTGTTTACTGTGAAATTTGGTAAACAAATACAAATTTATATTAGTACTTAAAGGATCAAACTCGAAAATCTCCCGAACATGTTTGTGTGTGTTATTCGTGAAAATCTTAAGGCTTGTCAATTTTCAAGTGCACTTTTTGAAAATATTTTGAAAAGACGATGATTGAAGTTTGAAGTTATTGGTGAATAAGAACGACAATCGAAGGACTAAGTGATTGTAAATGAAATTGCAAGTAAAGTAAATATAAGACAAAACTAACTTTGAAATCGAAAGAGATAAAATGCAGAAAAAGTTAAGATTGACGTGCAGGGAATAAAATAACACGAAAGGTAAAGGAAGTTGAAATGTAAATAAGAAAAGATAAAGACTCTTAAAGTAAACTTGCTGAAATTACATAAAAGGGTGGAACACATACATACATTTTCCTTCACTCGTTTCTCACAGCGCAAGTACTTTGAGTGTTACAGAAATGTGTACAATTTACGGACCCTTTACAAAATGAACTTAAGTGTCTATTTATACTACTCTAAATAACTGTCTAAGTATGATAACTATCCCTATGGTGACACGTCCTAAGTCATGTAGTGGTTTTCTCCGATGTGTCCCACGTTTTCTAAGTAACCGTCGACATTGACGTAATTCCCTCTCTGTTCTATTATTTGAATTTCTCAACTGCTTCGCTGGTGCCAAGAACTAGTTATCCCCGTCGAGGCCTTCGACGTCGACCCTATCTGCTAGCATGCTCCAATGGATTGTCCATTGTAATGATGTACCCCACATGTAGCATCCAAGTCAACATTGTTTCCATTATAGTGACGAACTCCACGTCTGGTGGCTGAGTCAAAGTTACTTCCATTGTAATGATGGACTCCAACCTTAGTCAATATATCATAATACTCAATTTCACTAAGTCCCCAATGCTCTTTACTATGTCTTTCGACCTTGCCACTTTCGACCAGTATCTCCTTACATGATTTCCGATCTTGTGTCATCCTGAACATGTGGACTTACTTGTCCTTCCACGTGGCGTATCTTTAGTTGTTCTCATGAATACTTGCCATTTATAGTCAATTCAAAAAATTTAGTGTAACAAATTACCCCCAAAAGGCCATGTTTTAATTTGTATCGAACAAGAGAGACATGACCTTTTTTATCACAAATTTTTGATGTCGTTTCACTTATGCTGATGTCATCGTCATCATTGCTCTTTTTACGGTGCATTGTCATTTTTAAGAGATTTGCTCAAAATCTCATCATCATTCATCATTCATACTTCGTAGGAAGACGTGGGTTTTCACGTTTTCAGTAACTGCTCCCTCTCTTCATTAATGCGTCACTTTGAAACCCCCACGAAATCTCCTTAGTCACTCCCACGCGGTTGTCAGGCGTCAGATTCACCACATGCACTGAAGCCTATAAATAGTCTCTCTCAGCTCCTTTTTCCTTTTCTTCACTTCATCTTCTCGCATCTCCTTCTCTCAGCGAACACAAATTCTAAACCCATTTCACCACTTTCATCTCTGAAACTTCCTATTTTCACCATGTCTGCTAGCAAAACATCCTTTAAAGCTACCACTGGTAACAACCCCCTTGCTTTCGTCATTCCTCCTACTGAGAGTGAAGAAGTGAAGTATTTCATCCCCGAACCTTCCTTTGAGAGTGGAAAAATTGCTATCTGGAAAAAGAAAATGTTGATCCCTTATGCCATGAACAATAAGCTATACACATTCTCAAGGCCTTATCCTTCAAAAAGGTCTCACACGGAAAAGGTTGCCCGCCTCTTCCCAGGTTACACCTTCACCATGCCATCTACGTTTGAAGAAAGGGCCATCGACCTTTCTTTCATGGTCAAACCCAACCGTGTATTTCGATCTGCTCCACCGGCCCCCACTAAAGAGTATCTGGCTTGGCTCAACAAAGTTCAAGCCAAAAAGCAAGGGAACTGGGAAACATTGGGCATCTACGACATGGTTAACTTGTCCAGGACCGTTCCTAAATACAACTCATGCATGCTGCTGGCCTCAACATTTTTCTAGGAAGGTTCAACCAACACTTTTCAGCTTCCTTGTGGCTTGTTGATGCCAAATTTGTTCGACGTTGCCTCCATTACAGGTTTGAATCATGTTGGTGCCACTTTCTGCCTAACTCTGGCAACTCCTCATGAATTTAGCATCAAACGCCCCACCTACAAGAATTTCATCTCCGATAACTACGACATTGTCAGTGAAGAGGTCTCCGACCAAGAGCATATTGCTTTTCTGGCATTCTGGATTTCTTACTACGTCTTATGCTCTAGCTCCCTACAGGTGGCAAATAAATTTGTCCCCTCGGCCATTCAACTTCATGAAGGACGAAACATTTCCTTCAACAAACTTCTTATGGCTAACCTCTATCAATCACTTGGAGAAGCCTCCAATAAACTCAAGCACCTTCCCCAAAATACCAAAAGTAAGTATTTTCCACTCTCTGGCTCCTTGCTTTTGAAATTGTGGCTAAATTCCACCTTCGAACCAAAACTTCATGCAAGTGATTCTCTAGCCCTGATAAGGGCGAATGAGAAAATGGCCATCGAAGGTACGAGGCTAGCTTTACTCACCCCGGATGAAACTCCCACTTCAAACGTTCTCATTAAGTATATCAAGCTCTTCCTTGGCACCAAAGTTTTTCATACGACCATGACACCCTTTGTGGATCGCTCAACTGGCCCAACGTGGCTAAATAACAAGTTTTTAGCTCTTCTCCTCCCACTACTGCTATGTTAAACGTGATTTAGTCCGCTTTTCTCATCCCTACAATCTTGTCATCAAGACTTGAGGCTACTGGCTATGGTTTGCTGGCTATCAGCCCAATTTGGTGGCCAGACAATTTGGCTGTAGCCAATTTCAACCTTCTTCTCTCTACATTTGAGAGGATGATATCTGCTGGTTGGAGCGCAAGTACACTTATGAAGAGTTTAAACTATGCACTAAATTTGCTCGCAACCAAGTCCTAGAGCTTCCCCTTTTGGAAATCCAACAATCATTCAACATAACTTCAGGGTTCCACGACTGACGGACCATGTATCTTGGTCGTCACCTCTCAGAAGACCAATTCTTGGCCAGGCCTGCTGACACCCTCTTCGACCTGCCCAAAGAGAAGCAAGGTATGTTTCTTTAAGCAACTCCTCTTACACTAGTTCCCTCTTTTTCTTTACTCACCTTTCGATCTTCAGATGAAGCTGAAGCTCCAGCCGACGACCACGTCAAAGGACCTTATGACGTGAAAGAGACGAAGCGGCCTGAGGAACCAAAAAAGAAGGTATTCTGACTTCTCACATCCTCTTTTGTCTTTAGAACACTCCTCACAGTCTTGCTTTCCTAGATTCGACCAAGAGATCCTGGATCCCCAACTTTTAAACCAAAGAAAAAGAAAACGAAGCCATCTGATGCCACAAAGACTACTACTATCCCTAGTTAGGTATAGTATCCGAAAGCTATTCTTGCCTATTCTTCTTGTAGCATCCTACTTATTCGACCATTTCCTTAGGGAATTTCACATCTTACTCCATTTCTGGTCGAGGACGCAAGTTCAGAGGACTCTGGCGAACCTCTCATCTTCTCAAGGTCGAGGTCGAAGGCTTCTTCAAAGCCAGATAC